GAGCTAAGCAGATAACTGCCAGGATGAAAGGAAAGCGGGACTGTTCAGCCTCAAAGCAAACACTGAAAACCTAGAATAGCTGTTCCTTGAAACAGTAGGTTGTATAGCATGATGTATACAAAGCACATCATTAGCACCAAACACAAAGCATAATTCTGAAGAAACGTCCCCCTGCCAATAGAAAGAAAGAGCCAATCCTTCCATATAAGGCGGGAGGAAGGCATAAGTGGGCATGGGAATGTGTTGGTTGGGGAAGGGAAGACAGGGTAAGGAGATTAGCCAAAAGTAAGGATATATTTTAAAAAGTCACATGGAACCTACTGTTATGTAAGTGAATAAAAATATATTAAAGATAAAGTTCAGAGAGTACATAATCAGATATGAGGTATATCTGTAATACTAAAACATGAGCAGAATTCTTGACAAGGGTGGGAGTGGTCTCAATGGTGAGGCTGCAAGGCTCTGCTCCCACCAAGGACTCCCAGCAGCAGGAGGCTGCTAGATAAGACCAGATCAATGCTTTGCTTTTCTGTGTTGGTTGGTTTGTTTTCTAAAAGTTTATATTGAAGTGGATCTTTTCCCCTTTCTAATCTATCATAGGACATTTACTGGCAATGCTTTAAATTTACATATTTCAAATTCCATATAGTTTTTAAAACTCCACGCAAAGGCTATTTTGTGACAAAAAAAAAAAAGTGTTTCCGTCTTTTTTTCCTTTCCTTTTGAAACTTTTTTTGTCTTTTTCGGTCAGACTTTTTGAATGACAATCTGATAACAAGATCTTCTAAAAGATAGAGTGGAAGTTAAATCATTGGATGGAAGAAAAAGCACGGCACTGGAGAGTTCCTTTGGAATAACCTTGTGGTCAGCGAAGTCTCTTAATGCCATGGAGCCCCAGTGTCTGTTAGCCAGACCTTGTGAGTTGTTATAGAATTTGAAATAGTTGATGGAAGGTGGCTGGCACTCACTGTTTATGAGTAAGATAATAAAAATGAAGCCAATGATAGGTTAAAACTTGAGAACTGCCATGAGTTGGAGCCAGCCTAGGCTACAAACTGAATTCATGGTGGGCCTGGGCTGCATAGCAAAGCCATAGCTCATAAGAAGAGAAAGGAGGAGGATGTGGGGGGAAGAAGGGGAAATGAAGAGAAAGAGCTAGAAAAGGAGGAGGAAGAGAAGGGAGGAGGGGTGGACAGGAAGAACATAACTGGGAGGCCTAGAGCAAGGGACCCAGCAGAACTTGCATCAAAAGATCTCGGAAACATCCTATTTACATCTCGCTGCAACCGCAGCCTGGGGGAAGATCCTTGCACACAGAAGAAATCTCCTGCCATATTTAAATAAATGTCAAAGAATTATCAGTAGCTTTGTGGGTAAAACCCAGGCTTTCATCAGTGAGGAAACATGCAGATTGTCAAAAATACCAGCAAGGAGAAGAAAGCTTCTCTCCTGCTCCATAAAAATCATCGTGATTTATTCTTTTAATGAAAAAGGCTTGGGAAGGCACGGCAGCTGTGGTTTATGAGGGGGAAATGAGCCAGAATTCCTTGCGGCAGGGTCGGTGCCACAAGGGGTCAGATCCGGATTAGGGGTGGAGGCTCGCATCACCCACATCGACGTAGTGGTGACTAGCTGGACTTTTGGGTGAGACTGTGTCAAGCAAAGGCAGGGCAGCCCAGCTTTCCTCATTGCTGCTGAGCAGCCCTTGGGAGGAATGTCCAGGGCTGGGGCGGGAGCGGCAGGTTTATGTTGAAGCTCTAGCTGGTTTCCCACTCAGCACGTGTGAGCGGTTTAGCCGTCGCTGTAAATCACAGCCTCGGCCCCTCAGCGTTATAAATAGGGATGCGTAAATGTTTTGGATTCATCAGCTTTCAAGTATTCTTCAGATGTCTTGGGTTCACCCAAACAGAACACAGCGTGCAAGCACATTCTCCCTCGCTTTTTTGTTTTTGAGAACTGTCTGTGATTTATGTGAAATAGAATCCATATGTTTCTGCCTCGTTTACACTTAAATAATCAAAAGGTTGAGTGTCGTAAGAGCTGTTTGCTGTCCAAGCTGTCTCTGAGCTCGCTAACCCTCCCCCATTGCCAGAAACTCAAGCAGTTTGGTCCCTTTAAAAAAGCCAGAGGGAAAGAGGGGGGCAGGGCGAGTAACCCAGGAAGGCCTGGTTTGCCAAGGCGAAATAATCTTAAGTACCACAAAGCTCAATTTAGGCAGAAACGGCAAGGCCAGGAATTTCTAACGAGCCCAGAATTTGGATAAAAACAAAGGCTCCTCTCCAACCATGTTCAAAAGCAGTTTCAGAAAGACACACACACACACACACACACACAGTCACACACACTGACACATTCACACACACACACACACACACACACACACACACAACTTGATAATCACACTCTGTAGACTGGGAAACAGTAGGACTACAACTTTAGCACCAGCTCACACTGCTCCAGACTGTTCTTCCTGGTTCTCTGAGAGTAGTCTATGCAGCCTGGACACAGGATCTGTCCTGTATGAGCTTGGAAATGCAAGCTCTGCGGTGTGTCTTGATACACTAATCCCCCATTGCCTGTCAGTCTGTCTTCCGGGCCAAACAGCCATGGGACTGAGTATCTGTGCACATTTGGAATTTGGAAAGGTGTGTGCTTACTTATCATGAAATTTCTTTAGCGATAGCCCTAAGCTCCTAATAGCCAACATATCCACTTTGTGCAATTTGAAACTGTGAATCAGCCAAAAGCCAAATGCAAGGCACATTTTTTTTTTTTTTTTGTCTCAACATTGAGTCACTGACATCTTAGCTGCTCTTATGTCCTTTAGGCCTAATTGTTTGTTTAAGTAATTAGAAGAAAAGTATCAAAATTAGAAATATTATAGTGATAGTATAATCTTTAAATATCTGTGAAGGATACTGCCACTTTTTTTTTTTGGTTATGATGGTATAGTTTTCATTAACTATCTTTTTAATTTTTTTAATATAAGTATTTCTTACAATTTACTCACTTTGTATCCCAGCTGTAGCCCCACCCTTATTCCCTCCCAATCCTGTCCTCCCTCCCTTCATCATCATCTCCCATGCCCCTCCCCCAGTCCACTGATAGGGGAGGATCTCTTTCCCTTCCATCTGACCCTAGCCTATCAGGTCTCATCAGGACTGTCTTTCATAATCTTCCTTTGTGGCCTGGTCAGGCTGCTCCCCACTCAGGGGCAGATGATCAAAGAGCCAGCCACTAAGTTCGTGTCAGAGACAGCCCCTGCTCCCCTTACTAGGGTACCCATTTGGATACTGAGCTGCCATGGGCTACTTCTGTGCAGGGGTTCTAGGTTATCTCCATGCATGGTCCTTGGTTGGAGTATCAGTCTCACAAAAGACCCCTGGGCCCAGAATTTTTGGTTCTGTTGCTTTCCTTATGGAGCTCCTGTCCTCTCCAGGTCTTTCTATCTCCCCCTTCTTTCATAAGATTCCCTGCACTCTGCCTAAAGTTTGGCTATGAATCTCAGTATCTGCTTTAATACCCTGCTGGGTAGAATCTTGAAAGGCAAGTGGGATAGACATTGGAAGAAGGTGAAAATAAGGAACTGCCACTCATTTTCACAGCATTGTCACACATCAGTATGAAGGACTTCATGGTCTGATGTGATCTTTACATGTGAAGTTTGCAGTGACCTCAAATAACTAGCAGTCTTGTGGATCACTAAGTCTGCTGGTCAGTTTTGCCAAGTTAACGCACCTAGGGAGGAGGAGTATCAGTTGAAGAACTGCCTCCATCAGACTGGCCCCCGCCCATGTCTGTCACTGCTGATTGATGTGGCAGGCCCAGCCCACTGGGAGTGGTCCCATCTTTAGACGGTTGGCATGGGTTATGTAAGAGGCTGTGCAAGCTGGTAAGCAGCATTCCTCCCCCGTCTCCACTTCAGTTCCTGCCTCCAGGTTCCTGTCTCAAGTTTTTGCCCAGGCTTCCCTTCACAATGACTGCAATCCCTTCCTCCCCAAATTACTTTTGGTCAGACTTTTATTCTAGTAACTAAAAGCGAACTAAGACACACACACACACACACACACACACACACCAATTACTAAGAAGGCAAGTGAACATCACAACATGTTTATTTGCTCACCGTTAAGCCTAAGAAACACCTTCATATACCCCTTCATCCCTGATCATAATGGGTAACGGGAAGTAACAGCTTGGTGTGTCTTAAACATACACATGCCCACACCTGCTTGTACACACACAGTACACACGTAGAGAGGGTTTATTGGGCCCCTGCTGTGATGTCGGTGATTGTCCTTAGCAGTGGAGGTGTCCTTTCCTCATAATTATAAGTTGTATGACTTTCAAACCTTAATGTATGCGGAACATTCCAGTATATAATGGCACCACAGTCACCTTAATATGTCTAAGCAGTTTTATACATGAAAAAAAAATTAGACCATTAGGTCATATATATTTTTAAATGTTGAACTTAGTTTTCAAAGTATACTTTAGGAATGCTAGAAAAAGAAATCAGGCATAAATTCTACAGCTGGTACTTCCTCACACTTCACATCAAAGCAGAGAACTCCCTCTGAGAAACAGGCAGAATATTGTGTTTGGGGCTGGGTTGTTTCACACAGAAAACACTTCCTAATGTCCCCAGATAAAAGGATCAGCAGCGTAACAAGTAAGGGCTTTGGACCTTTTCTTCCGCAAAGAATAAGTTGTGTTTCCACAGGAAGAGCCGGGACAAGCTCATCTGCCTCTGCTTCCTGGGTATGTGGTCTAACTTCCAGAGAAAGCTAAAAGTCCCATCCACCTTCCAGTCTCCTTCTGCTTTCTTCGCCCCTTGTTTTGAAGTTCACTGAGCAGTTAGTTGCTAGAGAGCACGCTGCCTTCTGTTGCCAGGTTGCCAGGTTGCCAGGATGTATCCAGGCAACGGAAGCCGGGATTCCTTTTATGCTATGCAGCAGCCATACCTACTAATTCTCAGTCCCACACGGGAAATGTGAGTCTTGGGGTTCCCAGCTCTTGCACCATCCTCCGTGGGTCCTCACAGGGGCCTGGAATGCCATGGTAAAGGCCGAATATTGAGAAGAGGCCAGACATGAGGTAAGTCTGTCAGGGCTTGTTCACTCTTGTCTCCCAGCTCCTCAGTCTTAAGTTTTACTTTCGGCCAGCTGTTACTTATTACTTGTACCCTCCCCACACTCCTCACTTGTGTGCAGAAAATATTTATCTGTGAGGGGAAAGAAAGTCAAATAGAAGTTAGTCCTAATAATACTGAGATTTTCCAAAAACAGTATTCCACTTCCTGGTGTAGTGTTAACAGCGAAGCATGAACTGTTACTTAAATGCTGTACTGACTAAAATATCAAATTTCATTGAAAGACACAACCTAAATAATTTTCTTCAAAGCATGTTTTTTTCAATTTTTAATTTTATTTACATGTGTGTTTTGCCTCCATGTATGTATATATGAGGGTGGACATTAGAGGAACTAGAGTTACAGACAGTTGTGAACTGCCATGTGGGTCCTGGGATTTGAACGCTGGTCCTTTGGAAGACTGGCTAGTGTTCTTAACCACTGAGCCACCTCTCCAGCCCCATAAGGTATGTTTTTAACACAAATGCAATATTAAATTTATTGGCTAGCTTATCCAGAAAAGAAACTTGAGCTCTCAGTTTCAAATTCCTAATATCAACTAATTTAACAGAATATAGCCACATAGAAATCCTTTCAACCATGGCAGGGGCGTTTCCATCACCTAGAAACTGTCCTCGTGTCCTTTCAGCCTGCCTTTTCTCCACCATGCTGGCTTTTGTCACCAGAGAATACTATGACCCCCGGGAGCTCTCCCTGTCTCTACTCCTGCAGCCTAGGCTCCTGTTTCTGACTCCATGGACGTGGAGAATGTTTCTGGGCTGTTCCAAGCTGCTCTGGGAGCCGCTGCCCCATCCTTTGATGGGTGAGCATGGCGCTGTGATTGTTCCAGTTTTGTTTAGCTAACCCACTCGCTGGTATTTGGTTTCTTTCCAGTTTGGACCTGCTTTAACCAAGCAGCTGTAAACACTCCTGCACAACTCTCTTTTTTCCACCAATTTCATTCTTTAAATCTTCCAGCTGTAGTGAGAGTCATCTGAGAAAACATCCATGCATTTGGGGACTACCGTGATGTGTTCTCATGAAGCGTGTAGCAGGAATTGATTGCCAGAATCACCTGACTTGAAGTGTTCATCACCTCATACAGTGGCCTTATTTGCTTTGTTCTTTTTTGGTGGAATAAAAGCTTGTATTTCTCTCTCTTGGTATATTTCAGGAATATACTGCACCATTGTTATCTTTCATCAGTATGGTTTGTGTTAGGTTCCCAATAATTAAACTCAACAATTTGGACCCTTTAATTATTATCTTCCCTCTACACCCAGGCTCCAGCCGCTGGTAAGCACCATCCTACTCAGATGAGATAGGTTTAAGAAAAAAAGAAAAACCGCTAAACATCACTAATCCTTGAGGGAATGCGAGTTAATGCCTCATATATATTAGGATGGCATTTAGAAAACATAATTTTTGAAAAACGCTGGCAAAGATGTGGTGAAAGGTAGACTCCTAGGGGCACACTGTCAGTGAGGATGTAAATTCATGATACTATTATGGAAAAGAGTATGGATATTCCTGTGAAGTAAAAAATAAAATACCGTGTGATCCAGCAATCCAACTTCTGCTATATATCCAAAGGAGATGAAATTGGTATACTGTACTCCTTGGGTATTTCATTCAAGCACCAAGACAGGACCTCTAAAAGCACACCAACTGGACAGAGAAATCACAGGATATATGCAGAGGATTATGTATAGTATATGTAAGAGAACACTATTCAGTTTTAAAAAGAAAGAAATCCCATGTGTGGCAGCAGGGTAAATCTGGAGGTCATTGAGCTAAGCGAAGTAACCCAGGTGCAGAAAGACAAAGGCTGCGCGATCCCCTTTTGCATAGACTCTAGACATGTTCACAGGCCTTCTGGTGGTTGTTTTTATTTATCTTTGGTTCAGACCTAGGAGTGAAATTGGTAAGTTTGAGATGAGTGTTTAACTTTTTCGAGTATAGAGTGGTATCTTAGCGTAGTAAGAATTTGAATTTGCCATTGACTAATTTTGCCTGCTGATGTATAATTGTGTTTTGAATTTCTATTATTATGAGTAAAGCTACCACAACATCTATCTATATGTACTTCTTATGAGCACTTAATTTTATATTTTATACAACATGTGGCCTGTGCACATTGCTAACTGCCAGACAGTTCTTCAGAGTTGTTGCAGCATTCCTACCAGGGAGATGGAAATCCTTATTAACTCTTGGATTGGCAATCATTTTAGCTTCAGGAGTTGTAGTATGAATATCTAGGATCTCTGTGGCTTCTGTTTACATTTTTCTTTGTAAAAGTCTTTTTATGTGTATGAGTGTTTTGCCTGCATGTATATCTATGTACCATGTGTCCAAAGAGGTCAGAAGAATTGTTAGATCCTGAAACTGAAGTTACAGAGAGTTGTAAGCCATCATCTGGATACTAGGAATTGAACACGGATCCTCTGCAAAAGTAATCAGTGTCCTTAACCACTGAGCCATTTCTCCAGCCCCATTGTTGGCATTTCATTTTATTTTTTTATGATGAACAACCAGGAACATTGTGTATTATTTCCTGAGTTGTATTGACTAGATAATTTTCATTGTTAACAATCTAGGCAAAGATTTGTTATCTTTAAAACTTAGATTGTATTGTCTTATATACATGCATACAGACATACACAACATATTCTTTTTTATAGATATATAATTTTTTCATTAATTTATTTGCTTTACATCCCGATCAGAACTTCCCCTCCCTCCTCTCCTTCCAGCCCCTTCTTTTACCTCTCTTCCTCTCTCCATGCACCCCTTCTCTTTCTTCTCAGAGAAGGGGAGGCCTCCCATGGACATTAACCCACCTTCACATATCAGGTAGAATTAGATGCATCTTCTTCTGTTGAGGCTAGACAAGGCTGTCCAGTTACAGGAAGGGGATCAGAGACAGACCCTGCTCCTCATGTTAGAGGTCCCACATGAGGACCAGGCTGTACATCTGTTACAGTTGTGGGGTGCCAAGATCTGTTTCATGGATGCACTTGGGTTGGTAGTTCAGTCTCTGTGGGCCCAGGTTAGTTGATTTTGTAGGTTTTCTTGTGGTGTCCTTGACCTCACTCTGGCTCTTTCAGTCCTACCTCCCCCTCTTCCTTAAGGTTCCTTGAGCGAGCTCCACCTAATGTTTGTCCGTGGGTCTCTGCATCTGTTTTCATCAGCTGCTGGGTGGAGCCACTCGGATGACTCTTATGCCAGCCTCCTGTCTTCAAGGATAGCAGACACTATTGTTAATAGTGTAGGAATAGGCTCTCTCTCATGGCATGTGACTCAAGTGGGGCCAATCATTGGTTGGTGGATTAAAGGTTTTGTGGGTGGGTCAGTGTCTCCCTCCTTCTACTGGAAGTCCCCCTGGCTACAAGTGAGTGTCAGTTCAGGCTCCATATCTCCTCACCACTAAGAGTTTCAGCTAGGGCCAACAGCATAGACTCCTGGGAACCTTCCCAGATCCCCTCACACCCACTGGTTTCCACTCTCTCTCCCAGCCCTCTTCCCATACAGTTTTCTTCCATCTACCTCAGATGTCTATTTTATTTCCCCTTCTGAACAGTGGATTCTTTTTTTCCCCAGCAGATTGTTTATAGATATAAATCTTAAGTATATCTTTTTTTAACTCTGTCATTTGTCTTTTAATTATCTTAATTTTGAAGAGCAATACTTGCTAATGCAGAAGTATCATTTATTATACTTTTTTTTCCATCCTTTTTGTTTTGCTGTGAAGTTTTTTGCAAATATCAACATCAAAAAATATTTCTCTGTGTTTCCTTCCAGTTTTAGCTCTTGTGATATGGTCTGTAAGTTCTCTTTGAACGGTAAAGGTAGAGGGAGAGCTGACCCATGTTTTCACCCAATCCTCCCACTGCCCTGTGTTAGAGATTTCCTTGCTTCATTGAGTCATCTTGGCAGTTTTGCCAACAAACGCATCAACCAGAGCTGACTATATAACTCTCAAATCTACCTCATGCACCTGTTGTCTATCTTTATTAGAACTTTTAATTTTAATAAGCCAACCTTTATTGACCTAAAGTACGGAAACAAGTAATTGAAGCTGGTCCATGGGACTGAACTTTTTGTGACTACTTGCGATTGCTCATTCATAAAACTTGAATGAGACGGAGCCCTCTTCCTTGAGTGTCATCTGCATAGCTTCCTCGGCAATAACCAAACATACGCGATAAATTTATTCACAAATCTTAATACCAGAAAATCTAATTTTAAAATATTTGATTTATTAATTCTCACTAACATATTATCTACTGTATTAAGTGACCTTTTCCAGACAGAGAAAAAGACGAGAGTATTCTTTTTGTTCAGAAGCCTCTGTCGTAAATATCCATTTTGAGCTTGAAAATAAAAACTACAAGTTATGTTAGTTGGTTTTTCCTGGTTGTTTCAGAACTTGAATCCCATACAGCTGTCTCTGATGGAAATTTGAGAACAGTGAAGGATGTACACAGTTCCGGAACACCTCCCCTGGAGGAGCAGCGCTGGTTCCTACACTGTACCAAAAACAAGTGGAGGTATTCTGTAAGCGGCAATAGCAGCAGCAGAGGGAAGGTAGAAAGAGGTAATTTGCTAATGGGTTAAACACGGTGATAAACTGTAAATTTTATGTGCGGGGTACAATGAAGCCAAATATTTATTTGAGAAAAGACCAAGAGGATCCTGGACAGAGTTGGGCACAAGCAAAAGTTGATAGGAATCTGGTTGTGTTTTGAGTATTATTTTAAAATTTACACTGATTGATAATTGGATAATAATTAATCATTCATTTTTAAAAATGTGTTTTAAGCATGTGTGTTTTGACAGCATGCACATTCAATACGCTATATGCATGCAGTGCCCACAGAGGCCAGAAGAGGGCGTTAGATCTTCTGGAACTAGAATTACAGATGGCTGTAGTCACAGTGTGGGTGGGGACTGGGAACTGAACTTA